AGTTGCTTTGATGAAGGCAACCCAAAAGGACCATGCACCATCGGGTCAAGTACATACCAAAATAGTTATGGACTTAGACACTAATCCAACATTTATATCTATCCACCTATCTAGAAAAGCTTGGATGGTTAGAAAGAAAGTCGTTAGATGGATTTCATCAAAAGTCATGGTTTCCATTAGTGGCCTAAGAGATTTAGAGTACCCCAATGAATTTCTTTGCTTATATTTGTGAAAGCAGTAGTTTTGAAGAAAAAGAAAAGATAAATGTTGAAAATTTGTGAAATATTAAAAAAAAGTGTAAAAATGAAAATATTCCTAAAAAGAGAGTTATGCAATAAACCGTAGTTATATTTCTTTAGGAAAATTATATTATATAGTATTTTCTTTTTAGTCGTGTCGCATGGAGCCTCGCAATAACTTTTGAAACAAAGAAGGGTAAAAAAAGGTATAGATTGAAAGAATGCAAAAATTAATGTTGTTCAAAAGGAGTTAGAAACGTTTGTGAGGAAAGTAATTATTTTAGATTGGGGAAGTACCTAGGACTTCTTATATACAAATACATGCATTGAGGTAAAGCTTAATTGGTGAGTTCAAATTGGATTGTTTTATGTGATGTTGGTGAGCGATGTTTTGATGTGATATATTGAAATAAGTTTTGCTTCGGGACAATTAAAAGACAAGTGTGATGTATTTTGATATTATTACACACACACATATATATATATACATATATATATATATATATATACATATATATATATATATATATATATGTGTGTGTGTGTGTATTATTTCAATACAGTTGAGCTAAAATTTGGTTAAATACAAATATATCGGGTACTTACAAGTATAAATTCTGTTTTGTAGTTAAAGAAGGACATTCTCAAGAAAAGACCAAAACTGGACAAAGATGGAAACTTGGAGGTTGGAGCTTGCTTAGAGAAGAAAACATGCATTTAGTCGATGACACGTCGTGGTCACTACATTTCCACGACGTGGCGAGCATTGTGCCACAAAAGGAAAATGTTTCGAACGACGTTGCGAGCATTGTACCACATTATGGAAGTTGTATTATGGCAACTATAAATATCAATTTTAAGTCAGATTTTGAAAGGAGAGAAGAGTATTGCGGCCAAAAGCGAAATAATACTTATGAGAAACCCTTAGGAGGCTAGAATTCAATTGGAGAACAAGAATTAAGGAGATTTAGAGTGAAGAACATCAACAGTCATTTCGTTTGCTAGTTTTGACTATGTTTAATCTAGTTTGCTTTATGGTTATGTGTGCTTTTACTTTGAGCATGGACTAATAACTATTTACTTTCATTTAGATTAGATGAACTCCTAACACACTGTGTTGATTTTGTATTAGTTGGATTTATGAAGTTAGTTTTTACTATAAATATTGTTTGATAAATCTTAACCTAGTTTGTTAAATTTTCTTTCTTTATTGCATTGCGTTCAAGTTTTGTAAATTTAAACGGTCATTGATTGCATGAACGTCTTGTTTACCTAGTTGTTTATGATCATTACATTTCTAGAGCTAGAGCTTGATCGTATCCTAGTATAGGTGGTAAAGTAAGCTCCTTAACTATGTTAGAGATCATTATTTAATCATAATATATGCTTGATTACTTGTCTTGATCATAGATAGGTAGTTCCTAGATGTTATCATTTAGAGTCCACATAATCTTTAAAACAATTTAATGTTCTTAACTTGCATGATCATTAGGGTTAAAGTTCATAAATTGATTTTTGCTAGTTAGTTAATCATGATGACTGATAACTTCTTATTTGTTAACTAAGAGAATTAATCCATTGTCTTGAAATCAACCATAGGAAAAGGGGGGAATTCGAAGCTAAACAGAAGTATCTTTTATTCTTTGTTAAAAATTCTTTTCCTAGTTTTTTACTTTTGTTTTTAGTAATAACTAGCGCTTGGTTTTTAGTTGAATTTCATTCCTTATGTTCGATCCTTTGCTTGCTCTACTATACTACTACACGACTACTGCGTTTTAGCTGGTAAAATTGGTCAGGGTTATAAATATAAAGCTTAGTGAGTTTAAAACACATCATCATTCTCGTATCAATGGCGTTAGATCAAAATTGGCCTCTTCACCAATATGGTGTAAAGAACGCCTTCCTGAACAAATCTTTAGAGGAAGAACTCTTTATGGAACCTGCTCCCAGAATAAATTGTTTCGGTAGGGTATGCAAGTTAAGGAAAGCATTGTACGGTGTTAAATAGTCTCCACGAGTTGGTTTGGAAGGTTCTCAAGTTTCATGAAGAAAAATGGTTACAACTAAAGTGATGCTGACCACACCCTCTTTACTAAGATGAATGATAAGAAGCTAACTACTCTAATCATGTATGATGATGATATGGTGGTTACTGGTAATGATCTAGAAGAAATTTCAAGCCTTTAGAAGTTTCTTATGACATACTTCAAACTGAAAGATCTTGGACACCTAAAGTATTTTTTAGGCATCGAAGTAGCAAGATCAGCTTAAGGTATATCCATGTGTTAGCGAAAGTATGTATTGGACTTGTTAGCCGAAAAAGGGATGGCTAGATTGTTGCCCGGCTAACACACCAACTGAAGTAAACCATGGATTAGAGATTCTCCTAGATAAAGTTCCCACAAAAAAGAACGATATCAACGGTTTGTTAGAAGACTAATATTTATCTCATACTAGACCTAACATTTCATATGTCGTAAGTGTTGTAAGTTGGTTCATACATGCTCCAAGTGAAGACCGCTTACAACTGTATATCGCATACTGCGTTACTTCAAATCATGTCTAGGAAAAGGATTATTGTTCAAGCGGAACCATAGTCAAGAAATTAGTGACTAGACCGATACGGATTGGGCTAGAAATAAAATTTATGGAAAGTCCACATAAGATATTTCACATTAATCGGATACAACTTAGTGAACACTTGGTGGAGTAAGAAGCATAATGTGGTAGAGAGGTCAAGTGCAAAAGCAGAATACATAGGAATGGTCCACGGTGTGTATGAGTTGCTTTGGATAAAGAGAATTCTTCGTGATCTCGGAATTAATCAGTTGTAGCCTATGGTTTTACATTGTGACAATCAAGTTGTGATGAACATAGTGAATAATCTCGTATAACATGATAGAACGAAACATGTAGAAGTGGATCAACATTTCATTAAAGATCATGTGGCGAAGAGTGAGGCTTCCATTTGTGAAGTCGTTGGATCAACCGACATACATGGTAACAAAAGCAGTGTGCATAAGAGTTTTTTAGAGCCCAGTTAAAGCTGGGAATGATAGACATCCACTCTCCATCTTGAGGGGGAGTGTTGATCAGAGCTCCTACTTATGGCATGAACTAGGATTGATCATTACCTATCCTTCCTTTTTATTGTATTTATCTTTTTTGTAAATAGAGGATTGTTTCCTTAGTTCCCATTGTAGTTTGTGTCTATATACATGGATCCATAGAAGAATGAAGTTACGTTGTTCCCAATCTCTCTTCTAATTCTACATTCACTATATAAACAACTTTCATGAAGCAAATAAAATGTTTAAATGAACAAATAGAACATAAATTAAAGAAAATGTGAATTCCAAATGGACAAGTACACTCAAGAACATTTAGAGACAATATTAAGTCAATAACTAGAAAAAAAATGCTCTTATTTTACAAAAGAATAAGGTAAATATTATAATAATAAGACCTCAAACTCAAACTCGAACTCAAACTCTAACTCTAACTCTAAATGGGTGTTATATGTAGGCAAAGACACTAAGCACCGTTGCCACTTTTCCATGGCTTGAGCACACCAACAACTACTACTACAATAATAAAGAGTAAAATCAAAATAGCAAGGATTTGAACCGATAAAAAAGTTCCATCAATTCTTTTTTTATTAACAAAATGCCGAAAATACCAATTAGATCTTTTGGTATAATAAAGGTAGTGAATCCCCTCAATCCAATTGCAATTGATACGATAACCACAAGAGGCATTGAAACTCCAATTGCTATCACATAGAAAAGGCACATTCTTGTAACAATCCAGAAAAGGACCAAAGTACCCTTGGAACTTCTTAGTGCACTAGACCCAAAAGACTTCAAACCAAATTCTCGAGAACATCATAGAGTAAAAAAACGAAACAAATTGAACCCATTTCGAATTCGAACGAGTCATGATGAAACCGACCATATTTGTGATTTCAGGGACCTGAATGGTGAAGATGGTGATTTTTCTGTGTTGGGTTTAGCCCGAGAGTTAGAGTGTCGAATTGAAGTAGCCGTAGTTGATTTAAAATAGTTGTATTTGAATCTAACAGTGAGCCCTATTAGAATGGATGGACAACTTCATTCAAATGTGGAGAAGTCCATATATACATAATAAATTACTTGAAATGGAAAAGATTAAAGATGCAACTGATTTACATAAATCAAACGGTAATCTAACATATTTATTTAACAGACACGCAAGCTTGACATAATACGAATTATTTTTTTATCATAACATTGAATAAAAATGACATGCATGGTATTCCATAGTTCCGATGTGTACTTGCATTGCTGCTACTGTATTTCCTTGGGCTTAAGGTGAATGAAAAGCTTTATGATGGATTTTCTTGTTGGTTTGGACTTAACTCTTTATTATATTAAACAAATAGTCTTTCCTAAAATCACCACCAAAGAAAAGTTACCAAATTGTTAGTGGAGCAATTAAATTAGGGTTTACAAAAAGATGATGTGCAATCCATTGAACTCTATCAAGTACACCTGCGAGAGCTATGGTTTCCATTTGGAATAATCTTCGGTCGAGTAACTAAAAAAACAATTGGGTGAAAACATTCTCGCAGCCTTTCTTCCGCTACAACAAGGATGGTGTGAGAGCATTATACTTAGTAAACATTTAGTGCACAGCTCCTTGGATAAATCAGATGTACACTGCATAGCCCCATACACAGGTTTCTTTTCAGGCAGATAAACTGTCGACCCAAATGCAGCTTTTTTATCGGTACCTCCGGCTGCTTCCCCCTGTAATCTCTTCATCAAATCTGTTAAACTGATCAGGCTTATTTACAAGACTTCCTTGTTTATCTGGTAAAAATATCCAAACCCAATCATCAAGAACTCCAATTATTTTACGATCTGAGTAACGTATCATACAATTTGAACCCCACATCACACCTTCCTTTTGATTTGGGCATTTTACTATAAGTGAAATGGTCAACTGGTATATACAATCTTGACAGTTTCCACCCCATTTGCTTGAAACACTGGAGCAAAGGCCGATGGCATAGCTTGTTTCTTTCTGGCCTTCGGATGAACTGAAAGTTCCCCCACTATACTTATCCATATTGCCAACCGCATTCAATGCGCTTTTGAAGTTTCTATAATAATCAGACCTTGTTGTGTAGTTGCCTGTGTCTCTGCATCTGAAGACAGGCTCTGCCGGGAATTGAGCTGTGACCAGATTAACAGCGTTCATGATTGCTTGAAGAAGAAATGCTATTGAAATTATGGATTTCATTTTTCGTTTGTTGATCAAGATAGTAATTAATGTGTGGGTGGGGCTTCTTGTTCTTATACACCAAATTACCTAAATCAATCGTTGTCAAACGCTAGGTATATACCCTCAAACGGAGTACGTAAAATTAATATATTTGTTTGATTGTTGTAAATAGTTAGGTACCTCAAAATACCTCAAAACATAGTTTAACTTGTATACGGATATAATTCTATAACCAAAGGTGATGGGAGTAGGAGGTTTTCTTATTTATTATTATTATTTTATTATAAATCTAAAAATAGGTTGATATTATTATTATTATAGCCTATGGAAATTTTCGGCTGTCCTACATATCTCAAAACTATTGACAAACACTACTACAAAAATGCACATAGGAAATACTATATAAGACCCCGTTTTTGAAAGAAAACGGATTATATTATAAAGAAATCGGGTTTTATGATAGAAAATGTTAAACCGGGTTTTTATAACCACACTTTGCGACATATACCAGTGTGTGGTTAAAAAGATCCGGTTATAACGAAAGGAATATTTAGTGCTAGCATATACCAAGGTTCTCTTAACCTAAATACACTACAAGAATGTCATCCTTTGCAGACGACACATGTCGTCGGCAAAGTTACAAAACATTGACCGTCTGACTTTGACCATAAGGGCTATGCCGATGACAAGTCGTCGGTATAGACTCGGCGGGAAACGTTAAAATGTTGGCGGTATATCGAAAAGCTTTACAGACGACTTGTCGTCTGGAAAATGCTCTAAAAAATATTTTTGATTTATTTTAATTCCTTGTAGCAGAAAGTCAAGACACTGTCGTTTTTGTCATCCTATGATGATGACATGTCGTCGGTATAGGTTGATTAAAAATTAATTTCGTTTTACTTTTTATCCGTGTCGTAGAATTTGTAAACGATGTTGTTTCGTCAGGCTATACCGACGACATGTCGTCGGTAAAAGGGGGCCCCGATTCGCGTGAAATCCTTTTTTTTTTAATGACGTGAAGTAATACGACGACGTTTTGTTTTACCTATACCGACGATATGTTGTCGGTATAGGGTTTCCCTTGTAACAAAACACCCTTTCAGCTTTCTTTTTGCAGTCGGGCACACCATTTCTCTCACACAGGTTCGTCGGCGATCGCAAGGGCGTTCGAGCTACTATTAAGTTCATCGGCCACCATGGTAAGGGTTTTGGTGCTTGATTGCTTCTTGATTTGTAATAGTTTGGTCCTTGATTTGTAATAATTTGGAGCCCTAAATCACAGCCCCATTTTTCTATTGGTTGGGAAGAAGGTTCACCACCCCCCATAGAAAAGGAATTCTAGTGATTGACTACATTTTGAGGTTAGTTTGTTGAGTTTTTTTTTCCTGCTTAAACTATCACAGTGACGATGTAGTGTATGATTTTTTTTTTGTTCCTTTCAATATGCCTTGATATGTATATGCATTTGTTTATGCACCATTATGCTGGATAAATCTTAAATGTCTAAATGTTAAAAATATGAAAACACGGTATAAGGCCACAGTTTGCTTTCTATGTGCATATATTGTGATATATTCTACTTATCTACAAGTAAAAGTGATGATAGAAGGCTTTAAGATCTAAATAATCAGATAAGAACCCAATCACACTCATTAATTTAGTTTCCCAACTCCTAGCAGAGATAGTGCCAAAAAATCTTAAACTACATAGACATACAATTTTGCCCTTATGAAGGTTGAAGAGGCGAGTTATGATTTGTGAAAGCACTAACAAAGAGCATGCAACAATGTCAACTATATATAAATATAAAAATGAATAAGAAAAATAAAGGAAAAACTATAATGATATAACTGATACAACTACAAACTCTAAAAAAACTTAAGGGTAAGCAATATATGGGCATTATTTTTTGACTTAATACATAAAAAACGATACTTAACTACAGAAATTCAAGAAATCATCTTCACAATTTGAGTTTATGTGCAACCTTATAGAACTAGCAAACAAAATTCATGTATACATTATCTTAAGTTAGAAACATTACCTTAAAAAATATTATCTTGAGTTACTTGATGTATTTTGTTATTGTTTGTATTGTAATGTGTTTAATATGGTTTCAAAGTGTTTAATTTTGTTAGTGACTTAATGTTGGTCATTACCACTTTAGCTTAATTAGGTTTTTTAATAGCAACGTACTTTTAGTAATTTTAAAATAATTATAAAGTAAAGGTGAATTAATCCCGACGATCCTTTGCCGACGACTTGTCGTCTGGATTAGTTACTCTATACCGACGACTCCTGTCCTGACGACATTTTCGACTTTTACCGACGGATCTGTACCGACGACTTTTTATAGACGACATGTCGTCGGTATAAGCTTTACCGACGACATGTCGTCGGTACGGGGTCCCTAATTGTCGTCTGCATAGGGCTCGATCCTTGTAGTGATAGAAAGATTGTTGAAGTTCTAATGTTAAATGGGTTTAGATTCATCACCAACATTGCCAGGATCAACAACAGTTGTGCCTTAAACATCGTCCTCTTAATCTAATGGTAGTGATGCCTATGATTCTATATTTCTTTGGTATCTAACTCACACGGATCCTGATGGCATCGACTGATGAAGATTACAAAAAAAAAAAAAGGAATTAAAAACAGGAGTCGATTTGCATCAAGTAACAATTTATTACTTTTCATTACTCAACTTTTTTTCTTGCTAGATTTTTTTGTTGTTAGTGATGGAACAAGTAATCTGATAGTTAAATATATCTAAATTTTCTATTATTTCTCGTTTTCACTTACATAATCTGTGTTTGGGTGTTCCAACTTTGTGTGCTTGTATTTGATATGTGAAGAGTATGAAAAAGAGGTTGTGACTTTTCAAGGCGGGAGTTACGCTAATTTCATAGGTTCTCACTTTTGGCACTTCCAGGCAAATCTATAGTTCTACACCCTTACTGGTTGTGGATCTAATGATATATTCATGAAACATTACCATCGATCTATTCAACTACATAGCTTCTTTCAGCAATAAATTTTCTGAAGCTTCTCATTTCCGTTTTGTTGTTTCCCTCTTTAAGGATGAATTGTTGGGATTATTTGAAGACCCCCATGCTAACTTGGTCATTAAGAATCAAACCTTGATATGGATGGTCTCTATTGAACCCGGGAGACTCAATAGGTAAAACCAAAGGCAAAATAGTCATACTTCAATTCATGTGTCATACTATATGTTGATCGTGTTATATCATTGATGACTTATCGATGAATAGGGAGATGAAATATTGTATCTGAATGTCTAAAAAGAGTTGAAATTAATGAAAGATTTTGTTTCTTCATAAAAGAATGTGATCATGTTCAAGTACATTTATTTCCATAACTATTTACTCATAAAATGTCATTTCTCACTTAGAAATAATAAATATTTTAGCTTTAAAATAGGGAATTCAATATACCATTGATGATTCAGGAGTATTTTATGGTGTTGGAGCATCGATTTTAGAGAATATTTCAAATGATCACACTAATGTTCCTGTTTTACTCTATTCTGTCCGAGCCACTGGTTCTTTTATAAACCTTAAAACCCGAAAATAGACCATTCCCATTAATCTTCATGATGTTGTGTCTTTTTTAACTCTTTCCTCTTTATGCAACTTAATCATTCCTGTAGGCTCTAAATGAAAGTAAGAAACATACTTCTATTGATTTGTTTATTATAGCATTCTACTTTGACAACTTACCTAATTATACAATATGTGGTTTTTTAAAGGCATGTTTTCTCAATTTCATAATCTATAAGACAAGAAGTTGTGTCATTCAAGTGTGGTTTGTGAATCTATGATTCATTCTGTTTCTCTTCCTTTTCAGTTGAAAATAATCGGTCCTAGTGGTGAATCGTTGAATGAATGTGGGGCCATCTTTTTATATGAAAGGATACAAATGTTAGCAGGGAAAGGGAGGTATAATTTTGTTACTGTCCTCAATGGTGCCGTGACAACACCATCATTAATTGGTATACTTTTGTCCAAAATCGGTGATTTTTTTTTATCAAAGCTGTATTGTTTATAATATGGCAATTTAGGAATCCAGGTAGACAATTATGCAATCTTTGCTTGAAAACTTGCAATTGCTGACCCTTGAAACGTCACATGATGTGGAAGACTTGCTAGTCACTAAATCAGTTATAGTGCAAGGTTCCCTTCGATATGGTATGCATACATGTTTGTTTTGTGTTGTTTTAAGCACCTTGACAAAACCTTTTTGTATTGATCTATTTTCTAGTGCTTGAAATAGATATTGTAGATGCTAAAGTGTTACTGGAACTATTCTCAATGTACCAAGAATAGCAAGAAAAGTAGGCTGAAATAGAATCCTAAGAAGTTTCCAATGTAGAATTTAGGGATATAGAAAGAGTAAGAATTTTTTTTTTCTTTCTCTTTGTAAATATAAGCCGTATGTTTGCATACATACATGTATATATGTGATTGTGTGTCTAAAATTCTCTAATTTTACATTGATTATATAGGATGATGGTATGCACTGAATTAAGCTTTATACTGTTGGTGTATACGTTTATTTGGTTGTATTTCAAGCTTTTACATTTTGTTAGACTGATACTTAATGAATGTGAAAGAATTGTTCCCTTTTCTAGCAGTGAATCGTAACCATAATGTATTGGCAATAAAAAATGTCAAAAAAGTTAAAAGCAGTAAAAGGACCCAGTTATATGTTAGAAAACCGGGCTACATTATCACATAAAAGTGCTTTTGCTTAGCATGAAAGGACCCGGTTTTGTTCATAGGAATCGGGTTATATTACAATAATAGGCCCCGGTTGGGAAACCGGGTTTTTGTACTTTTTCACATACGACTCGCCCATAAGAAACTCGGTTGAAAACTGGGTTCTTTTAAGCTTTTAACCGGGTTCGTTTACCCATTTTGTAGTAAGCAAATTCCATTACTATTTGATATTTGTGTCCGTGTTTGTTTGTTTGTTTGTTTCTCATGTTTATCCATTTTACATTTCTTTTATGATATCCTCATAATTTTCTAAAACAAAATATTTTTTCACTTTACTTTCTCCCTTAGCAAACTCTTATGTTTCCTCCCAACTCAAACGAACCACCGAAGCTATAGTGTAACACCTTGTTCCGCATCGTTTCCTAAATCGGGGTTGTGGCATGAATATCGGCTATCACCAGACTTAGGACCTTTGGGGAAATAGATATTTAGACCTATTTGGGTGTGGGTAATGTAACTTAGATGATCCGGGTGTTCGTTTTTTGTTTTGGAGCCAAAGGGTTATATCGGTAAAGTGCCAGTTCGGGCTTTTATGGAAATTGGATTTTAGTTTGGAAAATTTTAAGGCAAGTTTGAGTTGATAGAATCGTAGAGCTTCTCGTCACCTTTTCGTGGATATTAGGATCGTCAGAAACGGACTTATAACAAAGAAGTTATGGTCTGCTAGTTAGAAAGCCAGTATGAGGGACGTACATTGGTGTATGTTTGGTGTACTAAGCACAATGATCGCGGTTCTTTAGGGATTACGCTGGGCGTACCAGAAGTACATTGGATGTACTCCAATTAGACCCAAACCCTAATTTAGGGTCTTGGACCCTACTTAAGCCTCTTAACTCACCACCAGACCTTATTATCTTCAGCCTCTCCAACTTGAGGGGGAGTGTTGACCAGAACTCTTAGTTATGGGAGTTATGGCATAGATTGGGATTGATCCTTTCCTATTGGTCCTTTGTATTGTATTTATCTTTTTTTGTAAATAGAGTATTGTTTCCTTAATTCTCATTGTACTTTGTGTCTATATACATAGCTCCATAGAAGAATGAAGTTATGTTGTTCCCAATCTCTCTTCTAATTCTACATTCACTATATAAACAACTTTCATGAACTACTAGAAAAACAGCCTTTTACGAAGCTCATTGCGCGTCGTAAAAGGCTCAGACGACACGCAAATGTGCGTTAAGGAAGGCCCTGTCATAAAGAGAGACGACGCGCATTTACGACGCTCATTTACGACGCGCAATTACGACGCGCGTTTACAACACACAATGCGTATCAAGGAAGGCCCTGTCATAAAGAAAGACAACACGCATTCGCGTGTCGTAACCTTACGACGCGTGTGTTAATGACACGCAATGCGTATCAAGAAAGCCCCTGTCAAGAAAGGCCATGTCATAAATGAAGATGACACACATTTTTGCGTATCATAATTTTAATTGTTTAAAAAAAATTATTTATAGATTTACTAAGTTTCAAATTAAATAATACATTAAAAATCTCATAATTCAAAATAAAATACCATAAATAACAAAGATAATTCATTTCACTAATATGTCAAATACAAATAATTATTCCAATAGTGAGTCAATGTTATAAAAAAATGAACTCATTTATATACAATTGCATTATCTAGCTTACTATGTGCCAACAACTCTCTGTGTGTTTACTTTTGCTTGAGTCTCGTTTCTTCCAAAGCTTCTAGCCATGCCAAATATGATATATTAGGGTTCATGTCCAAATCAAGTAAAACATTGCTAGCTTAAATTCATCAAGTCCTTTGCGTGAAGTCTTAGATAGTAGCTTAACTACAATCTCCAATCCTTCTAGCAGACCCTAAAGATAATTATTGGCCATGTAGCAGGATCAACCTGCAATCTCTTTTCTACCTTCTTATTACTTGCAGCATCTTTTGACTGTTTGACCAAGGTTGTTCCTTCAGCAACAACATGCTGGATTGCATCAAAAAGATAAAACAGATGACAACAAATACAAATAACTACATTCTACTTTTAAAAAAAAATAGAATCCAACTCCTAAATCACAAACCTGTTTAAACATACTATAGACAGGATCCAATCCATGGGGTACTTTTGGAAAATAGTCTGAACATTCTTGACAAATCATCAACCTGCAAGTGAAGGGTAGAAAGGGAAGAAACAAATGTTCACAACCACTAAGAAATCTAAACACTAGAAGTTTCACAGTGATTGTTGATTCCTATAAACTCAAATGTGAGATGAGAGGCTTGTTCACAACCAGTAAGAAATAAGTAGAAAGAAACAAATTAATGATATTACCTGGTCAAGGAGGAAATCGACAAGAAATGGTACATAGAAAATATATATAAGTATGAATTGGGAAGTTACCAGGGTTTACATTTCAGGACTAAAGTTTCAAGCTTTACAGTTCTGTTCCTTCTCAACACATCAAACATGGTTGACATGTTCTTATCAGTGTTTGTTTTCTCTTTTGTAACACTTGAAGCAAGCTACAAAAATCCAATAGAAAGTACACGTGTTTATATGATGATGTGAGTGAGGAGAGAAAAAGTGATATACCATTGTTTTTGGTTTCTTTGATTTGTGTGACCCTTGCACTTGAATCAAGAGATGCAAACACCAGGGCTCTGTATTACAAAAAAACAACAAGCTTTCTTATATAAAAAAAATACGGGTATGGAAAGGTCAAAGGTATGAAGTCTGAATTAAAGAATTTATAAAGAAAGAAAGAGAGGGAACCTTGAATCCTGTGAGAAGACTAGGGCTGTAACAAGGCCAAGATGTGCTTTCTTCACTACACTATGCACCCTCAGATTCACCCTTCTACAATTCCATACCTTTCGTGAGAACATACCAATCCTTTCTGAAGAATGATCTCTTTCTTGTGTCCCTTGCTGCATTTCAAAATACAAGATTGTAAGCCAAGCAGAGACAAAAGAGAGTATTAATATAAGTATTAACTTTTTACAAATGTGCCCTTGTTTATTTATTTCCTTTTATATCCCCAAGTACACACATGGTGATTTTCTATTTTATTTTTATGAAAATCAATGATTCAGATAGACCTGATACCACCACCACATGCAGGTCCGATTTTGTACAAAGCAATGAAGTTTTAGGTGAATTGAATGGCACGTTTCTCTTCATCAAATAATCCATTCATTCTCAATCGTGTGTCTTAAGGCTGATTGCCTTAAGGCTGTGAACTCCGATTACATAAGACATTACACACTTACTAGTACTTGGATGTACTTTTTCCATCACCTGATTAACGAAAATCATACTTAAAACTAAGACATTACACACGTACACACTTACAATGGCTGCAATGAAACGTCTTGAAAATCTATCACCTGATTAACGAAAATCATACTTAAAACTAATTCTAATATCTTTGAACTTAGAGTGAATTCCATTTTAGGTCTCTTGAGTATAGTTTATTTTTGAAATTTTGGTCCTAAAAAGTTTTTGTTCACTAACACCATCTAGAAGATATTGGTCGGCAGCTCTAAGGAGATCCTGGGCTATTCTTAAATCCACTTCCACTGATCCAGTGTAAATGCACCTAATCATTTTCTCAAATGTCTCCCAATATCTTTTGCATCTCTCTCCTAGAATGCAACCAAACTGCCACATTCATCATCATCATTCATAAACACATATGTTTCTAGTAAATGCACCTACTATATGTTTCTAATTTGATACTAACCCTATAACCACCATCAAACATTGCCCGAAACGCATCAGAAGAAGCAAGCAAGCAGATTATGTGAGCATAAAACCTTTTGCCTGATATCATACCAAATAAATAAACTGCCAACCACATCCATTACTTAATTTTTACTTTTTTAAAAAACATATCATATATCATATGTGTACCTTCAATCATTAAAGTTACATTAGAAAGTGTAGGGTTGTTCACATACTGCTCACCCAAATATACCTGCAATGCAAAATTACAAATGCAACAATAATTATTACATCAACAAGTGTATGCTTGCTTGGAATTTATTAACTAAAAGAATAAATTGCATTTTTTTGTCTCAGCATGTAGCTGATTTTTTTTTAATTCCCAAAAAGTTCTATTAGAATTTTGGTCCATACATGTTTCAAGTAAAATGACTTTCTAGGACCAAATATACAAAATTCAGCTACTCACAGGGGCCAAAGATAGTCATTTACTTGGAACAGTAAGCACCACAAGCAAAGACCAAAACCGAAAGCTCAGGAACCAAAAATGTAATTTACTCTAAGAAAAAAAACGGTTTCAGGGGCCAAAGATACTCATTTACTTGGAACAGTAAGAACCACAAGCAAAGATCAAAATCGAAAGCTCAGGGGCCACATATATTATTTTTAATTATAATTTGTTGTTAATGAAATTTTGGATATATTAGATCAACTATTTCAGACCATTGATGCAAATCTCTGCTGCCTTTCCTCAATCTGCCACTCCTTGATGATATCCGGTTGTCCATCCGATCCAACAGAGAGCGATACTGATGACAATTGACTTTTCAAATCATAAAAACAACATTGGAATCTAAATAACTATAAGAAAAATCATCAAACTGAATGGATGATGATGTATGTTTGGATACGTAAAGTCTATTTCTTTTCTGTTTTACCCTTACATACGAAAAAACAAATTTCACATGTGAGGGTGGAAAAAAGAAGGTTAAAGGGGTTGGTGTCTTAATACATTAACTTGGCTTAACACATGAGGCCATTTTGTCCATATTAAGTCAAACAGAAACAACCCCTAAGTTTTAATATAACAAAAGCCATTAAACAACTACAAGTATCATAACAAAAAGTAGCATACCTTTTGTTCCATAACCTGCTGTAACCCTTAAAAGGCCACCAAGATCAATGCACCCATTAGCATCCATGCAATTGCAGCACCAAATCCTGGAAATATTTATTTATTAATCAGTAATCACACCTCTTTAATAATTAGTATGTAATCTACTAACGATGATATGCATATCCAGTAATCTGCTACAAAACTTCGTATCCACCCTGTAACAATTTTATAATCAGATCCCATAAAATCAAAATAAAAGACCACAAGAAGAAAATATTTTAAATACTTATTAATTATTTATCATTTACCTGAAGTATTACAGTCCAACAAGAAAATATTTTAAATAATTATTAATTATTTTATAATCGTATCCACACTATTTTCTATCTTATTTTTCAATATGTTTTACTTATACTTTTTCTTTAATAGAATCCTACTTTTCAATTTACAATATGTATATGATCAGAATGATTTCTGAAATTGTAAATAATTATTTAGCTGTTTTCTTTTAATAACTTTTAATGCATTTACATTATTTTCCACCTTTTTCTGATAAATTGATTATTTTATGTAATTCACTAAATATTGGTGCTTCTTTGTTTCTTTCACTTTTCCATTTTACTCCTTTTATTCCATCTAATGTTTAACCATTTTTTACTATTAGTTTTTCTGTAATAGCATCCTACATTTCTAAAATTATGAATTTACATCAAGTTTTATAACCTTTTAAATCATTTTTTACTAATACTTTTTCTGTAATCGCATCATGCTTTTCTATTTATAGTAGCTTCCTAATTGGTTTAATGCACTCAATATATTATGCTGTTTGTTATCTTTTATATATATATATATATATATATATATATATATATATATATATATATATATTATATATATATATATATATTATATATATATATATATATATATATATATAGGGAGACCTGTCGAGCCTATTGGGAGGAAAGCAAGAAAAGTAGCAAATATGTCAGCTTAAAGTGAGGCTGCATACAATAACTATAACTTCACCATTTTCTTGACTTAATTTTCCTATTACTTTTTCTAATATTGAGGTTCCATATCTATCTTGATTTGATAATCCAAACTTAATAGGACCAATCCATATACTTTTATGCAATATATTTCAACTATATAGATTTAGAAAATATATTTCAACTGTATAGATTTAGAAAAAAGAGTGATAAATCACATGAGTTGAAATTAGTTAAAATTACAGTTTTCACGCATATTACCTTTGACTTTGAAATCAATGTTGTTATTTTTTCAAATGAATTGTAACCCATAAACAAAAAACCTATTAATATTAAAGAATGAGTTTGATTGTCTGTTTGTTATATATATATATATATATATATATATATATATATATATATATATATAATATATATATATATATATATACACACACACACAAAAGGCCTTAAACAATCATAAATCTTATTAACACTTTAACTTTTTTTAATAAATATTTTTCATATGGTTCCCACGGGTTGTAACCTAGTGATAAATATTCTAATTCTGGACCACCACTACTTGGGGTTTGTTGTCTTTTATTATTTAGAGGTGTTGGATCATAAGGTTTAGGGTTTAGTTGTTGTAGTTGAGGTATTTTTCATTTTTAGTATTATTATGAGATTATCACAATCTATATAACTCTTAGGGTTTTTTTCAATTTGCATTTATATCTTGAATTTTATCTATTTGGTATCTCATTTTTTAACTGAGTACTCTTGGTTTTATGCTTTTTAATTTTTGCTTACAAATTTGTTCCTTTTTTATCAGCGTAAAAGATGCCTTAAAGCCTTTCAACGCTGCCTGCAGGTTAGTTCCCTCTTTCAAATTACCATTTTGCCCCTTAATGGTAAAAAACAGTTTTTTCCCTTTTTGTTGTTATTTCAACCACCTCCTCCGGTTAATGACACCAACACATACAATGTATTTAGACCTAGGAAGAAAGCTCACAAACTTCATACAAGAAGGGTAAGTCTGTCAATTATTCATACTTTTACATAATCTAAGGTATTAAAAATGTTTATATATTTTCAGATGCAAAGAAGAGAAAACAATGTCCAATCGTTTGAAAAGCTTCGCCATGTCAGCTTTTTCACCCATATATGTTCTTATCCTACTTCTTAATCTTACATTTTATTTGTCAATCAGGTGAGGTGAGACACAAACTTGATCAAGCCAAAAACTTACTAGAAGCTTTAATCAAGGTACCCTTACACACACACACACATTTCTTTTTATTTTTTATTTTTATTTTGGTAGTGATACTGACTAGATGAAAGAATGTGTGTGTAGCACCTGGTTTCCGGTATGTGAATTTTATTTGAGCATTGCCCTATTTTAGCCTTGGACTCGGCGAGTCACAAGGTCTGACTCGCCGAGTAGGGACGAGACTCCGGACACGTTTTAAGTGGGCGACTCGGCGAGTCCATATCCTGGACTCGGCGAGTCACCGCTGCAGGATGAAACCCTAAGTTTCAAGGGTTTGCACCCTATTTAAACCCTCATTCCACCCCACCTCATCCCCATTCACCCCCAGAACTCCCCCAACATCGTGTTCCCCTATTTCCTTGAGAGATTGAAGTGTTCTTGGTGTGTTCTTGAAGGTTTTGAGGAGAAAGAGGAGTAGATCAAGAAGAGGAGAAGGAGATCAGCCATCTTTGTGTCATTTCAACATTTTCCTTGAGGTATATCTCGTTTTTCCCCTGTTTCTATGCTTAAGATTTCATTTGAGACACTCTTGAGCAATTCTTCAAGATTGTTTGTGCTTAATGTTTCGTAATAAGTGGATTAACCTTTAGATCTAGGCAAGATTGAGCTCCAGGAGCTCAGATCTGTTAGCTTTATGGCCCCATGTGGCTTGTTCATCCTAGATCTACCCTTTTGAGGCATTTTGCACCCTAAAAATCCATATTGGTGAATATCTACACGTAAAGTTGGAAACTTTACGTGTGATTTGTGTCCTAGAAGTCCAGATCTATGAAGGGCATGGACTGAAATCGAGTAAATATGTGTATTTGGTGGGGGTGCATGGCTGCGACTCGGCGAGTCATCTATGTGACTCGACGAGTTTGGTCGCGAGTCACCAAACCGGTCCCTTCATGATGTGTCGAGTTGAGCCGTGAGTCACAGGGGGTGACTCGGTGAGTTGGGAGCTGAACTCATCCATGTTAGGACTCGGCGAGTCAATGCCCTGACTCGGCGAGTCCAAGGCAATCTTCATAGATTAAGAACAGACTCGGCGAGTTGTTCATACAACTCGGCGAGTCTTAGCATGAAGTGTTCTTCGGATGAAGATGAACTCGACGAGCTGTTCATACAACTCGGCGAGTAGGATGAAGGAGTTGAATGACTGTTAGAAGATGAACTCGTCGAGTCATAGCCCAACTCGACGAGTAGAACCAGGGACCCAGGACAATGGTTTGCTAGGGACTCGGCGAGTGGTGATCCACTCGGCGAGTCGGGTCAACTGAAAGTTGACTCTAGCATTGGCTTAGAGCTAGACCGGGGGGTAAAATGGTCATTTTACCTAAAGGACAGTTAGCAGTGTTTGATTGAGTATGTTGTGGGAATTGCAGCCGGAGGACTCCCGGAGCAGTAGCAGTCAGTTAGTTCCCGATCAGTTCAGCAGCTACTTTGAGGTGAGTTACCTTCCAGTAGCGGTGGGTCTAAGGCCACAATGCCAGCCCACCAGTAGGAGACGTATGATAGATGATTGTCTTTGTGAAATCATCTAGGCTTGCTATTACCTGTTATGTTATATGCTATCATGATACGTTATATGCAATAGTAGTAAAGTTCGGTTGTTAGGACCGCTGGGTAGTCAGACACCCCAGAATTATCTGACTGTATGTGATGGTATGCTTGTATGTTGGTCTGTTATGTTATGCGATAGAGGTAGCGAGAGGGGACCAGTCCCCGAGGATCGGTTGTTAGGACCGATGGGTAGTCAGCACCCCAGAATGGCTTGACATGGGTAGTCAGCACCCCAGAATGGCTTGACACGGGTAGGACGGCACCCCAGAATGGCCGTATGGGTAGGTCGGCACCCCAGAATGGCCGTACCGGGTAGTCAGGCACCCCAGAACAGCCTGGCAGTATGTATGTTATGTATTTGTATGGTATGTGGTACGTTGGGGGAACTCACTAAGCTTTGTGCTTACGCTTACAGTTTTGTTTTCAGGTACCTCTGCACCGAAGGGGAAGGAGCCGGCGCGGTAGCGGCACGTCATACACAAACTTTTTGGTTTCCGCATTTACGAGATTTCCTGGGATTGTACTCTGATATTTTGATGGGATGTATGGTTTGGCCTTTTAGAACATGGTTACGATGTGTTATGGTGTGATCAAACAATGTTTTCATTTATTAATGTTTTCTAAAGTAATATTTTAAAATGAAATTTTCGGACGTAAAATTGGGTCGTTACAATGTGCAACAGAGAGAGGAGAAAAAGAGAGATGTTTACCTTTTGAGAATCATCGTTCACAGAAGAACCTCATCCCTTTCAGCTTTCAGCTTTCACATTTGGGTGTGTGGTTGGTTGAACACAAGTTTACCCTTGGAACCAATTGATCTCTATATGTTTGTTTTTTGAAATATTGGATAAAATATATGGATTTTGTTTTTAAAAATGATATTTAATTTTCATATTATAATTATGAAGATTTATTTGGTTATTGTTGTATTGTAAAAATTTATAGGATTGATTTTTCTTTTGTCTAATTGGATACTGTTATATTTTAAATTAAAAATGACATTTGATATTTGAATAATTTCTTAATTATTGACCCTTTTTGTGTCTAATATGATAAATTAGTAAGGACCTATTATAGTCACTAATTAGATCAACTAGTGACCACTTTCTATGGTCACTGATCGGATAAACCAATGATGACTTTTATTGATCACTAAGTAGATAAAATAGTGGCGACTTTCATTGATTAGTGACAACATTTAGTGACGAAGTGGGTTGTCACAGATTTAGTAACGAGTATATTTTAGTCATTGTTTTAGTAACCATATGTATATTTGGTCACTAAATCGGTTTTGTGACGGACCTATAGTGATGACCAGAATTTTGGTCACTAAATCGTATAGTGACGATTCATTCTATTGTTAGTGACCATTTTGTTTTGGTCACTAATTTGCATTTTTTATGTAGTGATTATTGATATTACATGGCATTCTCTTGGACTTCCAACTTTTTGGGAAGTATGTAGGCCTGAGAAGTGGATGTGGATTCCATTTTTATCATAAAAAACTAGGCATTGCTAATCCATATCACATCCAAAGGATTGAATATCACTTTGGAATTGATTTTTAATGTTTGAACGAAAATGTAAGACTTTAGAAAAAAAAAACATTATATGACAATTAAACCCAAAGGAAACAAGAGTATATCAAGAAAGGTAACACAATATTTAATTACACTATTACTCTTCGAAGAAGAGGCCCATATATACATCATAATAAATTACTTGAAACGGAAAAGACAACAGATTACATAAATGAAACTGTAACCTAACATTATTTAACGGAAAAGCTTAATATAATAAGAACTACTTTTAATAGAACATTGAATTAAATGACTTGCATGGTGTTCCATAGTTCCGATGAGTTCAATGGGAGAGTTGAAAGAGGTGGCAAGTTCATTTGTCATACAATGGATGAAACTCAACCATTGTGAGATGCCACCTTAGCATTCAATGTATTTGGACTTCAATGGCCATTGAACTCTTCAATGGGGAAAAGGAAAGTTTTAATCCTTAAATATTTACTATAAATAACATTTTATAACATTCTATTGAACTTTGTAGAGTTCAATGCATTGTAGAGAAAACAATAATAGAGTTGTATGAATTTTAAAATGATGATGTGGCAATCCATTAAACTCTATGGAGTTTAATGCATTGTATATGCCCTAAGGTGAATGAAAAGGTTTATGATTTTATTGATGGTTTGAATTTAACTCTTTATTATATTAAACATATAGTCTTTGCTAAAATCATGACCAAAGAAAGTCACCAAATTCATTGTTTGTCGAGCAATTATATTAAGGTTGACTCAAAGATGATATGACAATCCATTAACTCGAAGTTTTGAATTCAGTGGATTTTGGATACCCTAATGATGAGTACACCTACAAGAGTTATGTTTTCCATTTGGAAAAATATTAAAATGAGTAAGTAAAAAAACAATTGGGTGAGAATATTCTCGCAGCCTTTTTTCCGCTACAACAAGAACAGTGCGCATCCGCTAACCCTTGTAAACATTTTTCGCACAGCTCCCTAGATAAGTCAGCAGTACACTGCATAGCCCCATACATAAGTTGATTTTCAAACGTCATCTTATATTCAGACTTTTTATCTTTAGTACCTCAGGATGCGTCCATCTTTAATCTGTGCATAAAACAATGCATAACGTGGTCTAAGTCAGCTGGCTTATTCGCAAGACTTCCTTTTTGATTATCTGGTAAAGTGAATCGAGACCAATCATCAAGAGATCCTAATATTTTACGATCAGAGAAATGTATCATACAATTTGAACCCCACATCACAGCCTCTTTTTGATCCAAGCACTTGATTGTAAGTTGAACGGTCAACTTGTGTATACATTCCTTACAGTTTGCTCCCCAATGGATAGAAACACCGGAGCAAAGGGCCATGACATGTGCTGCTTCGTTCACGCCTATGGATGAATTGAATGATCCGCCATTATACGTGTCCATATTGCCGACTGTATTCAATGCGACTCTGAGGTTTCTGCTGTAATCAGTCCTTGTTGTGTAGTTGCCTGTGTCTCTGCATTTGAAGACGGGCTCTAGGGGGAATTGAGCTATGACAAGAGTAACAGTGTTGATGATTGCTTGAAGAAGAAACGCTATTGAAATTATGGATTTCATTTTTCGTTTGTTGATCAAGATAGTACGTAGTTAATGTGTGGGTGGGGCTTATTGTTCTTATACACCAAATTACCAAAATCAATCGTTGTCAAATGTTAGGTATCTTCAAGTAGAGTTACGTATAATTAATATATTTGTTTGATTGTTGTAAATGGTGAGTACCTTAAAATAAAGTTTAACTTCTAAACGGATTTAATTCTTTAACCAAAGGTGATGGGAGTAGGAGTCGCTTTTCATTTTTTCTTTTCTTTTTTTAAATTTAAAAATGAGTTGATTTTGTTTGATGGTGTTAAACATTTAAATATGGTATTTGTTGATAACGTTGGTGAAGTTTGTACCTGGACACAACACAACAGGTAACTCAAAGAGGATAAAAGAGGTTTTCTACACTTACACAAACTATAATTTTCTGATATATGAACAGTAAGTACAGAACAACTGCCATATATGGCTTAGAGCACTCGGTATGGGTGCATCTCATTTGCGTGGAGGCTGACATGGACATCGACAACAACGTTATGACGGGGAAACCCCCCCCCCCCCCCCTTCTCGTTTTAACTCGTTATGGAACTTCTCGTGCCCATTACAACTTATTGAAACGAGGAAAATGTATACGTTGGGATTTGACCGTTTGCAACGGTCAACATTTTAAATAATTTTTTTTTACCCTTTTTACTTTATATAAATACTCATTTTACTTCAATTTTTTTTTTTACTTCTTTCTCTTGTTCTCTCTATATTTTATACTTTCTTTTAATCAATAAAAATAGAGCAAAACCCAAACACCTCCCCTCTATCATCAAACCCAAACACACAACCAAACACAACCTCGCCTCTCGGATTCGCAAGTTATGAAAATTATTTCAACATTTTACCGTCTCAAAGCTCACCACAAATCCCATACCAAGGCGCCGCTTTCAATCTCGCTTCACCGCCACTGCAATTTTCCAACTCACCTTACCTTCAACAAATTTTATTTGGTCAAAACCCAAATTTACAACCAAATCTTTTCCCTAGTTTTGCTTCGATGCAACAAACAACCAACCAATCATCGCCTACAACACAACAATCAGTTGAAGTGAAGCGGGAGGTAGTAGAAGAGGGAAAGGCAAAGGAACATCGAAAGGGATATCGATAACGGTTGAAACAGAAAGTGTAGACGTTCCACAATGGTGGACACTGGATGAGGAATATGCTTTGACGGCGACTTGATGTGCTACTTCAAAAAACAAACTTCGCGGAAATGGAATGAAAAAAGGAGCTTAATTATTGGGGGCGGTGCTTAATAAGTTTCACGCTATTTTAAAAAAATATCCGTATCACAACAATAACATGTTGAGCAGCAAATGTGGTCAAATAACGAAGCGGTGCAGCAAATTCAACGGTATTTACAACCGGCTTGAGGCGTAACAACAAAGAGGAACCAACGATTTCGATTTGTTCAAATCTACTAAGGAACAATATCGGGTTGAAGTGTGTCATGTTTTCGACTTTGAAAAATCATGGGAATTGTTGCGAGCGGATCTAAAGTGGAATAAAACGCCTACATCGTCGGAGGTTCAATTCAAAAGGTCTCGCAATTCTAGCTAGGTTGACGTGTGAGATGCACGGAGTAACATCGACCTAAACTCCGACGACGATGAGATCCCGGATGATATCCAAGAGATATCCCCACCACGACGACCGCCCGGATGCGACAAAGCGAAGCGCGCTGCAAGACATGCAGAGGAGGTGGAGATGAGAGCAAAAGAGGCGGCAGAAATGAGAGCGAAATTCGACGAGCAGAATTTATTAATAAAAGAAAAAAATGAGTTGAAACGTCGTCATTTGGAGCTCCTAGAAAGGCAGGCACGAGAGAAGTAAGAGCAAAAAGAGAGGGAACTAATGACACATCAGTTGTCAATTCTTCGGACGAGCAAGGAGAGTTTGACGCCTGCTGATCTAGTGGTGCTACAAGCGATGAATGAACAAATTAGGAAGAAATATTTGGGTTAATTAGGATTGTTATGTAGTTTTAATAGTAATTTGAATGATATTTTAGTTATAATTTTAAGTTTAAAATTATGTTTTTTTTTAATTGTAATCGTAATTTTAGATTTTAAATATTATGTTTTTTTTTTAATTTATGTTTTATAAAAAAAATATATTCATGTCAGTGATTAAAAAAATGCAAAAAGAAAAAAAAAAACAAAAAAACAAAAAAGTAAAAAGAAACCCACTTTCGAAAAATAAAATAAAAACTAGAACATATTTATTTTCAAAAAATTGGTGTTGTATCTTGTTGCTACTTTTTGCACTTGGTGTTATAACACCACTTGCTTATGTGGCATGTAAGGTGACACAACTTAATATTGCATCTTGTTGCCCGCACTCAATGTTCTTACACGAAGAAAACGAAACAACTACTAAAGGAAACTGAAGCACTACCACATGACTTCTAAAAATAAGGAACTACCATTACCGGAAAAAAAATACTAAGTCGACATAAAATAAACTAAAGTAAAATAATACATGTGCGTGACCTAAGATAGAGAAGGTGTTGTACTTCAACATTTGTTTTTCTTAATTTTTAAATATCGTATTTGTCCTGGTTTTTAATATCATATATACTCCAAGCTAATTTTTGATAATTTTTAACATTTAATAATCTTTTTTTTATACTCTTAAAACATTATAATTAAATAAAAGATTAATGGACCATAATGTCCTTAATCCTAAATGCCTTTTCACTACCTGGATACATCAATAGTATTTCTCAATAGTATTTCTCCCCACCCCCAAAATCCCTAATTGCTTGTTCTTCTACCTTGAACGGAAGGAATATTGTGGATCGTTCCCCTGTCTTCACAAACGTTCATTATGAAGGGCTTCAGAAACATTCATGTTGTATTGATGAATTCTCCATCTTGGTTTTCTCAAGTTGCAGGTAGCGACCACAGACTCCGAATTCTCCACTCCCGCGCAACGACTAGCTCTCAGCAAGGCAGCGATGACCGATAGCTATGATTGAGCCTAAAGTTTCATTAGCTTGTTGATTTGAGCAATAGTTCTTCTGTTCGCATATCTACCGTTGCTGTTGAAAAGAATAGTTCGGATCTACCCTTGTTTATTTGAGGTGTTCTTCAGCTGATTAGTTTGTTATACGTTTCTGATTTAAAAGCATGTATCTGATATTCAGATTTAAAACCATGCAAAACGATTTAATTCAATAGTATTCTTTGATACTACCAAAAGTTAAAAAATTCCATTATTTGTATAATTAAATTTCATTTATAAGTTTATATTAAATCTCATGAGCTCAAATAATCAGTTTATTAAGTGATGAATAATCATGGAATGTAAAGTATTACTATGAAAGCTTATGGAGGGATGAATAATCAGTTTAATGGCATCTAAAAAGTATAGCTTTACCTTAAATCATTCACAATCATTAGTGCACAAGTGATAACTATAAAAACATTTTCTTCATTAATGTTTAATTGACAAAGAAAGCCAAAATAATTACTAATTGTGTCTGATTACACATGTGTTGATCATGCATTCTCAAATTTTATGCTATTCATCAGTTGTAATCATGAATTGAATGTTCAATTCACAAAGAAAGCCATAAATTAACCTAATAACCATAGCCCCTTGCAACAGGGAAGAGGCGAGAAGGCAACAATGAAGGTCGACATTGTGTGATTGTTGATCAATAGGCTCTGCTGCCGCGATCGCACCCTACAGCATAAAGGGTTTATGTGATTTAGAGAATAAGGGTATTCTTGTCCATTTAGTTATTTTTTTCGTATTTTAATGATTTTAAATTGTAAAAAATGTTTATCATATAATAAAAACTATTTAAAAATTACATTTGGGTATATATGATATTAAAAAACATTAAGAAGGGCTAATCCGATATTTAGAATTTAGACTGGACAAATACGATATTAAGATGTTTAGCAAGGACATATATGAAATTCAGTCTTATTTTATTATTACTATAGATAAACACATAACACTTACATTTAGGTTTTTGATTTTGATTTTCGATCTTGTTTTTAAATAGCAATGACATGGTGACTTGTGGAGAGCAAATTCTAGTGGGTCTTGTTACCGCTAATTGTCCCTTTCATTTTGTAGGGTTAAGGTTGATTTTGGTTAAATGTAACATCCCGAAATATCAAGAGTAGAGTTGAAGGGGCTAAAAGAGTAAGTTGTGAAAGAGTGACTCGGTGAGTCCATGGATGGACTCGGCGAGTAGAGTCGCGACTTGGTCGCGTGTTAAGTAGCCGACTCGGCGAGTCAGTGAGATGGACTCGACGAGTAGGCGCTGAGTGGAGAAAACCCTAATTCTCGGGGTTGAGCCTTATATAAAGATCATTATGTTTTCCTCCCAGCCTCTTTATCACCCCTTGAGCCCCAGAAAACCCTAAATCGCGGAGAAGCACCATTGTTGAGTGGATTGGAGCTTGGAGAAGTAATTGTTGAAGGAATTTTGGGAGATTGAAGGCTTGGAGCAAGGGGCTTTGCTTGGATTCGAATTACATTGCAGTTGGGGCATCTCTTAGAGGTAATATCTCGTTATTGGGCTGTTGTTATGTTGTTTCTTCATTTTGGGGTTTGTGGGAATTTGTCTATGGATGAAATGGGAAGTCTAGAGGTTAGATCTGAGGTTGCTACCTCAGATCTGGAAGGGAGAAGAATCAGAGAGCATGAAAGTCCCTGTGTTGGAGTGTTTAGTGAAGCTTACATGTCCCAAACCCTAGCCCAATGTGCAAACGGCCTAGATCTCTTTGGATTCACGTAAAGTTTGCCACTTTACGTGATGGATGAGTGGTAGGAGGCTAGACCTATGTTTTGGAGCAGTTGCATGGCCTGGAATGCTTCTGAATGGATTCAGACCGGTGGTACTCGGCGAGTCACATGGGTGTACTCGACGAGTTGCTTGAAGATGAGCTGGGACTCGGCGAGTTGGAAGAACAACTCGGCGAGTAGGTTGATGATAGCCTTAGACTGGC